GGAGCGAAGAACGGGAAAGGGAGAGGGGGGGGGGGGGGGGGGGGGGGGGGGGGGGGGGGGGGGGGGGGGGGGGGAGGGAGGGAGGGAGAGAGGGAGGGAAAGGCAGGGAGGAGAGAGGGAGGAAGGGGGAGGGAGGAGGGAAGGGAGACCTGGAAATTTAGAACTAAAAACAAAAAAGAGAATCCATAAGCCAGGTGTGGGGAGGGGAAAGGGAGGGAGAGGAGAGCAAGAAATTAGACATTTATGTGTGTATGTATCCCCCCACTTGGCCCACAAAATCCAACTGGTGTGCAGACACCAGAAAGAAAATATAAATGTATATTTGCATGCAAAGGCTTGCATTTTGCCCCTCAGGGAAAGCTGGTGGCAGATATCGCCAAGCGCCTGGGCCTGAAACACGTGGTGTACAGCGGTTTGGAGAACGTGGACCGGTTGAGCGGGGGCAAGCTGAAGGTGCTGCACTTCGATGGGAAGGGGGAAGTGGAGGAGTATTTCTGGTCCATTGGTGTTCCCATGACCAGCGTCCGCCTGGCAGCTTACTTTGAAAACTTCCTCACCATGTGGAAGCCTGTGAAAACCCCTGATGGCCACTACACCCTAGGTAAATGCCAGGTTGCCGTGAAGGTGCACCGACATCTGGCCGCCTGCCTCTTCCCTTGCCTCCTGTTTTCCCTCCATCCCCCCTTTCCTGCCCCTCTTCACTGGACACACCGGTGCTCTTGGCTCTGTGTGACCTGTTTAGAGGCCACCGAACTGCCCTAGACTTCCCCATGGCAGTCAAACCCCTGGAGACCAAGACTGGACTTGGCAGAAAGCACACAGGTTATCTTTCCGGCCCACCATGCCGACACTCGCTGTGTGCGTAGTTAACTCTGTCCGTAAGCCTCAGCTTCCTGGAAAGGCGGAACAAGATGGTCACTAAGAGTCCTTGCTGCCCTTCAGCAGCAGGCGAGAAAATGATCCCGTCCTCAGAGGTAGTCTCAGGAGACGGGTCCCCAGCCTGCTCCAGCACGGACTGCTTAGATCTATAATCTGTGGCTTAGAGTAGCCCTGGGAGAAGAGGGAATGGCCACTTCCCTACAGGATCCCACAGATTCAGGCTGCAGCACTGGGTGTCCCTGCTGTGGGAATAGCTGACATTCCTTAAGGAACCCCCAGCTTGTTACAACCCCGTGAGAACTAGTGACTGTGTGGGTCTGTGACCTTCATGGCTCTATGACCTTCTGAGCTCTGCTCCCGCAGTGACCTCTTCCTGTAGCCCTTGCTTTTCGCACCTCTAGTTTAAGGGGTTAGAGTTGATGAAGCGACTAGCTCGGGCTGGAGGACCTGCCAAGGATGTGATACTATAACTTATTTTTTATCTGTTTTTTTGAAACTAGCACTGCCCATGGGGGATGTGCCAATGGACGGGATCTCCGTCGCCGACGTTGGAGCTGTTGTCTCTAGCATTTTTGCTTCTCCAGAGGAGTTTGTCGGCAAGGCCGTGGGCCTCACTGCAGAGGCCCTAACAATACAGCAGTACGCTGACGTTTTGTCCAGAATTCTGGGGAAGGACATCCGTGATGCAAAGGTACGTCCTTTTGTTTGAGACAGGGGTTGCTTCTTTTTCCTTTTTAAAATCTATCTGCCTATCTATCTATGTATCTATCTATCTATGTATCTATCTATGTATCTATCTATGTATCTATCTATCTATGTATCTATCTATCATCTATCTATCTATCTATCTATCTATCATCTATCTGTATCTATCTATCTATCTATCTATCTATCTATCATCTATCTATCTATCAATCATCTATCTATCTATCATCTATCTACTATCTATCTATCATCTATCAATCTATCTATAATCTATCTATCTATCAATCTATCTATCATCTATCTATCTATCTATCTATCTTATTGTGTGCATGCTCATACACATGCCTTATGTGTGTGTGGATGTCAGAGGACAACCCGTAGAAGTCAGTTCTTTTTCTTTTTAATAACTTCTTCTTATTTCATGTGCTTTCGTGTTTTGCTTGCATGTATGTCTGTGTGAAGGTGTTGGCTTGCCTGAAACTGCAGTTACGGCAGCTATGAGCTGCCACATGGGTGCTGGGAATTGAACCTGGGTTCTATGGAAGAGCAGCCAGTGCTCTTAACCGCTGTACCATCTCTCCAGCCCCCAGAAGTCGGTTCTTGTAGGTGGAGTTTTTGTCAGGACCACCTGTCAGCTCTGTCCCGACAGCCTACTCCCAAATAACACAGAGACATAATATTAACTATAAATGCTTGCCGGGCAGTGGTGGTGCACATCTTTAATATCAGCACTCAGGAGGCAGAGGCAGGTGGATCTCTGTGAGTTAAAGGCCAGCCTGGTCTTCAGAGCAAGTTCCAGGACAGGCTCCAAAGCTACACAGAGAAACCTGGCTTGAAAAACCAAAAAAAGAAAAAAGAAAAAAAAAGAAAAGAAAAGAAGAAGAAATTATGAATAATAAATGCTTGGTCGATAGCTTAGACTTTCTGTTTCTAGCTAGCTCTTATAACTTAAATTAACCCATTTCTATTTATTGATTTGCTGCCATGTGGCTCGTGGCTCATCACTTCATTTTGGACACATCCTGTTTCCTCTGCGTTTAGCCCGCATCTCCCTGACTTCTGTCTTTTTTTCCTCTCAGGATTCTCTCTGCCCCACAAATCCTGCCTAGCCACCAGCCAGCCGGCTCTTTACTAACCAATGAGAGCAGTCTGTGTTTACAGTGTACAGCATGGTTATTCTGCAGCGAGTTCTCTTCTACCACACGTGGCCCACAGGTTAAGCTCAGGTTGTTAGGCTTGGTGGCGAGAGTCTTTCCTTCCTGAGTCATCTCATGGGCCCAAGGCAGGGCTTAAGTAGTGCAGGTGTCCTCAAGCTTGAAGTAAACACCCTGTCTCAGACTCCCTCGTACTGGTATGGCAGCAGGCACAATCGTGCTGGTTCCAAAGGCGAAGTCTTAGGTGATCAGTGTGCCCACAGGAGGCTTCCTCAGCTAGCTTCTTACTGATGTATACATTAGGTTTACTGGTGGGTTTTAGGGGGTGAACCCAGCCTGTACCATCAGAAGAAAGTGGAGAGAGTGCTACGCTAACAGACCTTCACGCCTGTATGGCTTTATTTCCCTGGCTTTAGATTCATTGGCTTGTTACGTAAACTAAAGTGCTTTTGCGTGGAAAGGGTTTAGAATCCGAAGACCAAGGTGCAACTCTCTCACCTGTGCTGTTCCAGCAACCCTCGCTGCAGATGGGAGAAACACTTGCGGGGGGGGGGGGCAGGAACGAAAGATATTTTAGTCTCTCAGCCTCAGCTTCCTCACTTGTAGATCAGCACTATGGGGCCCACCTCAGAGTGCCCTGGTGAAAACAAGACAGGATATAGTTAGAGTCTACCTTGCGATCAGCACACAGTAGGGCAACACCAAGTCCTGTGTGCCCAGTGCTAACGTGGAGGAATTTATAGGGCAAGCAGTGTGAAGATGTTGGGACACAGAGCGGCACAGGTGCCTAACCGTGTCATCCAGACCATGCTCTGTGGAGGCCAACCTAACCGTGTCATCCAGACCATGCCCTGTGGAGGCCAAGAGGACACTTCATGTAAAGAATGGGTTCTAGGGCCACAGGGGTGGCTCAGTGGTCAGAGGCTTGCTGCTGTTCTTCCAGAGAGCCGGAGCGGAGCATGTCTCCTAGTATCCACAGTGGGAGGCTCACAGTCACCTGTAACTCCAGCGTAGGCGGAGTCTTTCTGTCTCGGCAGCCACTTCCCAAATAGCCACCCAGAGTCTTAATATTAATTACAAATGCTTGGCCAGTAGCTCAGACCTGTCAGGAACTAGCTCTGACAAGTTAACCCATTTCTATTCATCTGCGTGCTGCCCCAGGCTCGTGGGCTTTTACTTCTATCCGATTTTGTGCGTCCAACTTGTTCTCTCTCTGGCTGGCGGCGCCTCTGACCCCACCCTTCCTCACCCACCACTCTCAGTTTGGCTTTCCCATCTAACTTTATTCTGCTCGGCTACTAGCCAGTCAGTTCTTTATTAAACCAGTCCTAGCGACATATATTCACACAGCTCTGGGGGGAGCTGCCATTCTTTTCCGCCCTCCTTGGGTACCCCCCGAGCACATACATACACATCCATACTAAAATAAATCTTTTTAAAAAAGGGATGGGTTTGAAGACACTCTTGAGAACACTTAGTGAGCCCTCAGTAACCGACAGTGACATGGGTGTTGTAATAAAAAAAAAAAAGTAGGGGGCTGGAGAGATGGTTCACAGGTTAAGAGCACTGACTGCTCTTCCAGAGGTCCTGAGTTCAATTCCCAGCAACGACATAGTGGCTCACAGCCATCTGTAATATGATCTGGTGCCCTCTTCTGGCCAGCAAGCATACAGACAAAACACTGTATGCAAATAAATTTTAAAAAAGAAAAAAACGCGCGCGAGGAAGATGTCACGTGACAGAGCTCAGGTGCAGATGGATTTTTTTACTGGAGAAAAGTGAATGCGAAAAGGGGGGAGGGGAGTCCAGTCTCTGGGGACACGAGAGGCAGAAGAAAGAGGCAGACGGAGAGAAAGAGACGGGGGGGGGGGGGGGGGGGGGGGGGGGGGAGGGGGGGGGGGGGGGGGGGGGGGGGGGGAGGAGCTTTTAAAAGGGAACGCAGATGTGCACAGGGGTGCCCTTAGTGGCTACAGCTGGGGACGCCAACCCCAGGGGCAGACTGGTACAGATGCCTGAGTACTAACAATGAGTCCCATAGGAGGCGTCTGGTCCGAAGTGTGGCAAGGACAGCTCTTTACGGACGGGTGGGGCGGCTTGGTACCATTTCCCCACACAGGTGTTGATGGGGTGGGGGATGGAAGAGACTTTTCAGATGGTGCAGTGACTGAGCCAGAAAGCCTCGAGTATTTATGTGCGGCCCTCAAAGAGAAAGTTGATCTATTCTGACTGTCTTGTATTCTGCTGTGGTAAAAAATGCTCTGACAGAAGCAACCTGTGGGGGGGCGGGGGGGGGGGGGGGGAGACAAGGGTTTATTCGGCTCACAGCTCCAGGTTACAGCCCAGCCTTGCTGGGAAGTCACAGGGGCGGGAACTCCAAGTAGCTGGTCACATTCTATCCACAGTCAAGAGTAGAGCAACAAATTAACTCACGCACGTTACTGCCCAGCTTGTTTTTTCCCTTTTCATTCTGTGCAGGACCCAGCCAATGAAATGGCTGCCTTCCTTCCTTCAGGGTGAGCCTTCTAAATTGACCCAGTTAAGGTAACCCTTCACAGGCACGCCCACAGGGCAAGCTAATCCAGACAATCCACCACTGAGAGGAACTTCCTGGGTGATTCTAGACAGTTAAACTAACTACGCCAGCAAGGTGGCTCATACACCTGTAATCCCAGCACATGGGATGTGGGTGGAGGAAGACTTTTGTGAGTTGCAACCTGAGCTGTAGGGTGAGAATGTGTCTCCACATCTCAACCCAAAAGAGAGTTTACTGAAGCTGGGCAGTGGTGGCCCACGACTTTAATCCCAGCACTTGGGAGGCAGAGGCAGTCAAATCTCTGTGAGTTCCAGGCCAGCCAGATCTACAGATCAAGTTCCAGGATAGTCAGGGATACACAGAGAAACCTTGTCTTGAAAAACAAAACAACATAAAAAAAAAATAAAGCTTACTGACCCTAGTTCTTGAATATCCCCATTCCCCTCAGAAATGGAGGGTATCTTCTTGCTTGCATCAGCTCTTGGTATATGAATCACTGGACAGGGGAGTTGCACAAGGGCTTTTATTATCCCCCTCACGGTCTCTCTACCAGCCACTCACAGAGAGGGGTGTTAGTTGTTTGGACTTCCAATTCAATTTGGGTGTTAAAATGGTGAGGACACTAATAGATTTTTTTTTTTATTCTGGAAAACCATGGTAGGTGTCAATCAAGACATAAAACGTCTGTTATCTTCAGCAAGCACGGTGGTGGCACACACTTTTAATCCCAACACTCAGGAGCCAGGAGCTGGTGAGCTCTGTGAGTTCAAGGCCAGCCTGGACTACAGAGTATGTTCCAGAACTACCAAGGCTACACAGAGAAAACCCTGTCTTGAAAAACAGACAAAGAAACAAAACCAAAACAAACAGAACAACTATATCTTTGAACTAGGGTATCTCTGAAATCACACAGAATTTCATAGAGTTCTTACAAGCTTAAGAAGGCAGTCTTCCACTCAAAGACAGGTTCCTGAGACATCTTGCAGGGTTTTGTCCATAAATATATTTCCCAATAGTCCATCTTCCTACACACACACACACACACTTGCCCGTTTTTTTTTTGTTTTTTTTTTTTTTTTTTTTTTTTTTTTTTTGTCTTGATGGTTTGACCTATATAGGGAAAAGACAGGGAAAGGGGTATATGGGCAAAGAATATGGGTAAAAGGATGCGTGGTATATTCATTCTTATGGGGCTTAGTAAAAACAGTTTTGGGTGGCTCCAGACCTTCCTAGCATTTTAGACGGATACCTGGTCCCTGGATGTTCTTGGAACATTTATCTGTTTTACAGGATGGCTAATACTGTTTTGTCTTGATGGTTACTACTAGTCTGTCCTGAAGTCAAGCCCACTTTTGCTCTCAGGTAGCAAAACGGTTAGGCATTATGTTGATTTTGAGAAGGATGCATCTGGCCACAAAGTGGCGCTCCAGCCCTCCCAATTTGGTACTCCCTGGCCCAACCTCTCTAAAGAGAGGCACCTGTGGGCCGGACAGATTCAGCATAAGCAAAGCCTACCAAGCTCTCACTAATTGTTCAGGGCTGCCTGAACTGTCTGTCCAACCCTCGGGGAAACATGGATCCCTCAGAAAGTGAGTTGCAAGAGAACAGATCTCAAAAATCTTTAAAAATCCGCAGGAACAGATCCCTATTTTATGAGGTTTGTTAGTTGTCATAGTTACAAGACGACAGTGTGACTTAAAGAGACAGAATTCCATGCTCCTAACAAATATTATTCTGTTTCCAAACTCAAAGTTTTAAACATTTTCCTAATTAAAACTATGTTTCTTTCAACATTTTTGTTTATGTGTATGTCGTGTATTTGTGCGTTCACACACACGCAGATGTTCTGGAAAGACAGAAAGACGGCTCACTGTGAAAGCTGAACCAGCCTCAGGTTTCTCAAGAGCAGTACCCATTCTTAACCACTGAGCCATCCCTCTAGCCCTTGTCTTTCTAATTTCACAAACATCAAATGCTTATTACAGTGGCTGAAGCAATTATGAAAAAGAAAATAGCCAGGCAGTGGTGGTGCCCGCCTTTGATCTCAGCACTCAGGAGGCAGAGGCAGGAGGATCTCTGTGAGTTTGAAGCCTGGCCTACAAAGAGAGTTCCAGGACAGCCAGAGCTGTTACACAGAGAAACCCTACCTGAAAAAACAAACAAAAGTCAAAAAGAAGGAAAAAGATAATAAACCCATCCAGTTTAATCTCTGAGCAATAACAAGTAAGATCTGCGGGTTTATCCCAATCCTTTTGCGGGATATATAACATATATATATATATCCGTACTTAAAGCAGCACTCTGTGCCATTTTACCCAATGTTATGAACACTTCCCTATTTTGCTAAACTTCTTTAAATATATTAGTATGCTAATATGTTTTTATTGTTCTGTTGGTCCTGCATCTTCTTTCTTTTCCCCTTTCCTGATTTTTATTTCTTCGAGACAAGCTTGCCTGGGACTCACTCTGTAACACAGACTAGCCTCAGCCTCACAGCAGTCCTCCAAGAGCCAGAACGGGGGCTTTCATATTAAAAATGCCATGCAATAATCATGAATCTATTGATTTGTTTCGAATATGGAGGAAGCTTATTGCTGGGTCGAGGTACACACCAAGAGACAAGTGCAGTCTTCTCAGGACACAGAAGCCACACAACTGTGATTGTCCATGCATTTTTATTTCTCACACATATTTTTCTTTTCTGCTTTTTAGAGACAGGTTTCTCTGTGTAACAACCCTGGCTACCCTGGAACTCTGTCTGTAGACCAGGCTGGCCTCGAACTCACAGAGATTCACCTGCCTCCCAAGTGCTGGGATTAACAGTGAACACCACCACTGCCCAGTCTCGCACATATTTTCCTAAGAACAAGTGTGTGAAGGGCCAATGAGATGGCTTTGCAGGGGAGGGCGCTGATAACAACTCCATGACCTGAGTTTGATCCCCTGGATTCTCAGGTGGCGGGAGAGAGCTGACTGTTCTCTCCCACACTGCTGTTGCACATGCATTCATATGTGTGTGTACACATATATACATACGTACATAGATACATAAATACATGCTAATTGTTTAAATGGAATAAAACCCAACTGGAGCTGTAAGGCCACAGTTCATCTCTGCAGGGAGGACAGCTGATATTGACCAGATATTAAGATGATACCCATTTCTTCAGTAGAGGAAGCTGTGCATCTATTTAGTGTCAAGCACGAGTCAGGGACAGAAGACATCTCAGTAAGCATGGGATGTGCTCCATTGCTGCTGGGCCTGCATGGTTCTGGCAGAGACTAGAATGACTGAAGGGGGGAAAACCCCAGATCTCTAGCCATGAAGGGGGAGGAAATGGATGGGATATCACTGAGTAAAGAGTCGGTGTGATGAGGAATAATGCCCATGTAGCCGGGAGGGCAGACCATCCTGGGGCCTGCTGGGGCAATCCGGGAGAGATGCAGTGCTCAGATTTACCTTATCCAGATGCCAGGACCTAAGACAGCTGTGTCTTCAGCGTCGTCTGCTGGCACATGGGTGGAACGCCACCACCAGCGGCTGCAACTGGAACCTGTGATCAAACACTGATCAAATACATCAATAACTATTTCCACTGAGTACCACACTTAAAGACTATAAAGAGTTTCACATAGTTTGGATTAGAATTTTTTATCCAATCAGCTCATCAGTTAGCTTCCTGACAAACGGTGTGAGAGCTTCTTCAGAGGTCCTTAGATCCTGGAGCTAAAGAATGAGGGCCTGCGCCAATACTGAGATGAATACGTAAACCTACTGCAAACCATAACATTTACTGCTTTCTTCTTTCTTCTTAAAAGATCACCCCAGAAGCTTATGAAAAGCTGGGATTCCCTGGAGCGGACGAACTGGCCAACATGTTTCGTTTCTATCACATGAAGCCCAACCGTGACATCAAGCTTACCCACCGTCTAAACCCCCAAATCAGAAGCTTCAGCCAGTTCATCTCAGACAACCAGGAAGCCTTTAAAGACTTGTGAAGACCTTCAGCTGTCGAGGCAGCATGGCCTCCTGTCCCTCAGGTCATGCTGTCCTTGTGACACAACACTCCCCTTTACAGAGCAGCTAGGCCAGGGAGGCAATTATCTGTACCACCCGGGGGTTCCTTCTGCCTTCTTTCTGGGGGATACACTGTACTGGAAATCCAACACAGCAGTTTGATTCTCTTCAAACTTTCCAGCTAGTAATTCATGGTGGGAGAGCTACTTGGTAAATTGAGAAGTCCCAGAACACATTGCCTTTTCCAGATCTTTCTCTCCAAGATCCAAGTTGTCTCAAAAGGCTGGTGTGATGAACTCAGAGCATCTCCCTTAATATAGGTGAGAGGTCACTTAGCTTTCTTCTGAACAAGGGATCCCCTTCTGAAATTTCCCTAGCAGCTGTTTTCTCTGGTGTATCTCAAAACTTTCAGCAAATCAAAACCAACCTAAGTGACCATCAAAAGATGGATAGACAACACAATGTTTTAGGTATAGTGAAATATTATTTGACCCTAAAAAAAGAATGAACTACAACATGCCGAGTTTTGAAAACACTGAACTAATTGAAAAAAGTCAGACAGAGCAAGATAAATATCAAATGATTCCAATTATGAGAAATATCTAGATGGGCAACGTCACTGAGATAGAAAAGGTCTATGACTGGGGCAAGGAGGCAGTGAGTCACTGCTCAGTGGTTACAGGGCTTCTATTAAAGCTGATGAAAGTGTGGACAACAGGGGCCACAGCTACACAATTTTGTGATCGCAGTTACTGCCAATGAATTGTATGCTTGAAATGGCAAGTTGTGAATATACAATTGCATATACTTATTATGCCACAATAAAAATTTTTCCAAAATATAAGTGTTACAGCTCTGAAGGGGAAGATATCCTCACAGCTAGGAGCCAAAGAATATCACAAAGTCACACAACCTAACAAACTTCATACAAGGTATTTGCTGGGAAAGATACAAGAGGGTGGCTGCCTCTGCTTGGGAAAGAAGCAACCGAGAACTGGCGGAGGGTGTGGGGATTCAAACACAGAGGCAGTTGCTTGTGGAAGAGGAAGACTTTATTTTGCCCAATCTAGAGCCTTTTATACCTTTAGGCAGCTGGACTGAGGCATGCTGAGCAGCCAGAACCTGAGGTCAAGGTTAGGGCATCGTGTAGGAAAAACACTTCTGCAAAACACCACACACCAGAACACAAACATCCTTGTCAAATACAGAGTACAAGGAAGTTCAGCTGTCAGTCAGGGGGAGTGGTGGTGGCCAGGCCATCTGGGTGTAGCCAGATCACAACAACCATGTGGTTGCTAGGAATTAAACTCAGGACCCCTGAAAGAGCAGTCAGTGCTCTTAATCACTGTTGCTGTCGTTCTTCAGGTTTGAGAGATGGGACCTGGAAGTCACTGGCTTGGTGTGGCTGTGCACACCTGAGGCTGAGGCAGGAAAGCCTTCATGGCGCCCAGGACACTCCCCCTCCCCCTTATTTCACCAGTAGCAGTATGGTTGCAGGACATTTAGGAGTTTTGCAACCTCTCGTGTTTTATTTACAATGAACACCCTTGTATACAGAAAGCATACATAGACTAATAAATTCAAGTGAGTGGCTCTACACAATATATTCCTTGGGAGGAGAAATAGGTGTTAAAAGGTACAAGGTCTTTGTTTGTTTTCTTTTTTAAAGGCAGGGTTTCTCTGTAGCCCTGGTTGTCCTGAAATTTACTCTTTAGACCAGGCTGGCTTTGAACTCACAGAGATCTGCCTACCTCTGCCTCACAAATGCTGGGATTAAAGGTGTGCACCACCACCGCCTGGCTGGCACATGCCTTTAATTCCAGCACACGGGAAGCATAGGCAGGTGAATCTCCGTGAGTTACAGGACAGCCTGGTCTAAAAGAGCTAGTTCTAGGACAGGCTCCAAAGCTATGGAGAAACCGTATCTCAAAAAACAGAAACAAAAACAAAGCAAAAAAAATTATATAGAACTCTCTGGAGAATGTTGTATTCAATGAACAAGCATAAAGTATTAGTCCTGAAATTGAGCTAAGTATAGGGACACACACCTGTTATCTCCACATTAAAGTGGAAGGACCGCCTAGAGTTCAAGATCAGTCTGAGTTACACAGCCTGGGCTACAGTGCGAGGCCCTGCCTCAAATGACCAAGACCTGAACCGTAACAAAACATTAAACACCTCTACAGTCAGTTCAAGCTTTGCTTCAAGACTGAGCGATCCCTCTGATTCGCACATTAACGCATCTACGCATCCATTATAATCACCATTCGCTCAGTCGTTGCCCTGCGTTCAATTCTGCAGTCCATGTTTTAGCATTGGTTGGGAGAGGGGTGCACGTGTGGACTTCTCCCTTCTCTTGTGTGTGTTCTTACTGCGGTGGTCCATTGACTAAGGATGATAGGAAGCCGTCTCAGTTTTCGGCTACATTTATGACAAGCCAGAGCTGAGGTGGCCATCTAACCACCAGGCTCCCAGTGGAATTCAGAGCATCTGCCAAGGATGAGAGGACAGGGAGTTGGCGGTGCGGCCTGGCCAGAGCAGGGAGAAACCATCCCACAACTTGGTTGTCCCAGTTGCTATTCTTCTGGCTATGAGCAACTTGTATTTATTTTGTTCTTTTGAGATAGGAGCCCAGCTGATCCTCTAACCTCTGGTTCCCTGAGTGCTGGGATTGCAGATGTTGTATGTCAGAGCTTTCCCTGAGAAGATGTAAAACACAGGTCCGCTCACCCTAGATAGGGAGATCAAGCCAGACCTAAGTATGAATACCACCAAAGTCCAACTTGGTGAACCATAAATTTTATTGGGGTTACTTACAGGAGTGTGAATGAGGAGTTACTTACAGGAGGAGAGATGGCTCAAAGACAGCTGCACTGCTAAAGCTCACCTCAGCATGGGAGACAGCTCATAAAAGCCAGGAACCTGGAGCTCATTACACAGCCTGCAGGCAGCTCACCAGGTTGAAGAGTGTCCTTTCGAAGTGACCTCTTGCACGCAGCTTGGCTTGTCTGAGAGTCCTATTTGCGGCTCAGCTGTGCTCTCTCTGAGAGGGAAGCTCAGTGTTTATTCTTTAATCTGGCAAGGAGGGGCCTAGTGAATCTGGTCAGTTTCAGGGATTTCCTGAAGTTGTTATGAGTTGTTTACCTTCAGGCTCAAGGAGCTTCTGTCTAGGATGGAATGTTTCAATCTGGAAGAAACTGTTACACCACCGCACCTGCTCAGTGGTCCTGTCTTTTTACACACACACACACACTCACACTCACACACACAAACACACATACGTTGGCAAGTAAGCGATCAATAAATGCTAGTTGAGCAAGGTAAATAGATTTATTAGGCTTCAATCCCCAGCACCACATAAACCCAACATGGTGGTGCACCCCTGTAATCCCAGTACTCAGGAGGTAGAGGCAGCAAGATCAGAAATTCAAGGTTGTTATTGGCTACATAGCAAGTTTGAGGGGGCCTGGAATACATAATGCAGGGACACTAGCTCGTTGGAACATGTGACACTGGCAGGTTGTATCCCCAGTCCCTCTGCCACGTCTTGTCTCCCCTCTATCCAGAGGCAGCTCTTTGTCCCTCTGGGGCAAATAGCCCTTCCCCCTTTCCCTATTTGTCTTCCCCATTCTCTTTCATCCCTTATCTTCATTCTAACACAGACCTCCCCTTTCCTCCCTTTATTATAAGTTACACCTGCGAGGTCATTTGCTGCCTGAGTCAGAAAGCAGCTGCTTCAACTTTTCTTCCCCCCCCCCCCCACTGGTTACTCTAAGATCCTTCCCAGAATCCCCAGCTACGAAGTCAGGTAATCCCAGATTTAATTGACAAGCTAAGTGAATCTGGTCAAGTTCTTTGACCCCTGGGCTCTGTTCTGCCTCCTCACAAGGGCTGCAGGGAAAACCAAAAGGCAGAGATCACGGAAAGTCCTGTGTGTGGTACTTGTCAGAAGGAAGTGATGGGGAATCAGGGTCTTTCCCCAGACTCCTTCATAATGCTCCAGCCCACCCTGAGTTTTGGTGAGCCCTGTGACCCCCTACCTGCCCATCAATCTTGACCTCCCCAACCACCTGTGTCTAGTCTGTACCATTCCTGGTGCTTGCCACTAGATGGCAGGCCAGGACAGGCTGAGAAAGGGTCGCCGGTGCCTCATTCCAGGTAGATTTTATTTTTAAAGGCTTTTTTGGGGAACGGAGTCAAAGGAGATATGTAGAGCATATTATAGACCTTTGGGTCTCTTGTTTCTAGGCTCTCAGTCACCTCCAAGGCCTGGAATCTTCTCTGGATCTGGCACTAGAGCTGTGTCTATGACTGATGTGGAGCTCCGGGAAGTAGAGACACAAGAGCTTATTGCAGTCTCCAATCAGCACAGTCTCAGTCTACACAGAAGGAGCCCTCAGGAGGACAAGCCTTCAGTGTGGACAGAGAGCTGCATGGCCCTGCCTCATGCGCTCAGAGCACAGAGCCTGGGAGCTGGGCTCTTTGCTTTGTTGGTTGTGGGGCCTGCTGCAGCTACTAACTTCACCCTCCACCATCTTCTCCCACCCCAGGTATCCTTGTAACTCTGAATTTGCTAGAGGCTGCACAGGGCACTTTTAGAGAGAAATCAGCTGAGTAGACCTCCACCTTGTGCTTTCTCTGACAACACGAGGCTTCTTAAAGAAGCAAATAGACAGGCAATAATGAGCTGTTAGGATTGGCCTTGGAACTCTCTATCCCAGGCTGGCTTCAAACTCATGGCAATCCACCTGCCTCAACCTTGCACATTCTGGAATTAACAAATGTGATTCACCACATCCTGTAATAACATGAGTTTTGTTTTTTTTTTAATTATGTGAATGGGTGTTTTGCTTGCACAGATGTCTGTGCATGCACTGCCTGTGGAGGCCAGAAGAGGGCATCAGATCCTCTGAAACGGGCATTAAGACAATTGTGAGCTGCCATGCGGGTGCTAGGAATTGAACCTGGGTCCTCAGGAAGAGCAGCTCTCTAGCTTCTAAATCTCTATACTAGCACCCTACTCAAGATTATCTCATTTTACAGATAGACGCACTTTAGAGAGTTTTGGTGGCTCATCCAAGCCACACCGCTGTTGGAAAGGGTCTGTCTGCCAAGAATCAGAGCTGTCAGGTTAGAAAAGGATTGGGTCATCCTATCTGGAGTTCAGAAGTTTGGGATTTGGACACAGTTTAGCAACTCCATGAGTTCTAATCTGCCGGCAACTCTCCCCACAGCTAGTGAAACCACACCCACTTATGACTGATAAACCAGTTTTCTCTAGAGTGTCGTCGTAGCCCTTTCTCCCACATGGACACACGGGAGAATATGGAAGCTAACTCTCGGCCGACACAAAGCCGTAGCTGGGGATGGAGGCCAAGGGTCTTATATGGAGCCAGGGGATGGAGGCCAAGGGTCTTATATGGAGCTAGAGGGGCGGTACAGGCCTTTAGTTTTAGCTACAGAGGAGGCCAAGTGGGAGGGTTGCTCGAGGCCAGGAGGGCAGGGGCGGTCTGGAAATATAGGGAGTACCGATCTAAGTGGAGCAAAAATGAACACATACACACACAAAGCCAGGGTTGTCAGCACGCCTAGTGCGTCAGCCTTCAGAAGGCTGAGGTAAAGGATGCGAGGCCAGCCTAGCACAGCCCTGCTTAACTAAACACAAAAACCTAAACAAACAAAATTATTCTTTTATGTGTAAAGAAATAGAAAGCAGCGACATAGTACACCTCAGGGTCCAGACAAAGCCATGGGGTCAAATATCCGACCAGTGGGCAAGACAAGGTTGAGGGTGGAATTCATAGAACCGTGTGGATTCCTACATAGAAGTCTC